CAAATTCCACATAGGCTTGAGAATCATGTTTTTTAAAACTACGAAATCTTTGGCGATATGCCTCTGGCACAAACTCATAGGCGCGTAGTATTGCAGCTTTGACCTGCTCATAATCCAGGCTAATCTCATGAGATAATGCAGCATACACCTCCTGTGCTTTACCCGTGAGTACGCACTGCAGCATAACGGTCCACATGTTCCCAGGCCATTTCAAAGTTGTCGCAACACGTTCGAAAATAATAAAATACGTATCAATGTAAAATCATGAAAAACCGGGATAAACCGAATATATTTACCCACATCAAAATCAAGCGATTGCGCAGACGACAACTGCTTAGCCTGGTGCGACAATGTCGCCAGTTCCAGCTCCTTCTAACGTAGAATACGCTTGGTCTCCTCCTCAAGCTTCCTTATTTCGAGGTTACAGTCAATTTCTTTCTCTTTTATCATTAACTTGCGCATCTCTAGCTCAAGCTCCCTCACTTTCTGAGAGACCACTGTCTCCTCGTCTTTGGGAAAAGAAGCAACGCCCACTTCCTCCGACAACAACCCCTGATCTACCAGTGCAGCCAACAGCTGTTCCTTAAATGATCTGTTTATTGCTGTGTTTACTAATCGGAACGTCAAACCTGTCTGCGATTAGTTCAAGTTGTTGTTTACTACATGTGTCCAACTCGCCCCGAGTCGGATCACTAACAAAATCCTCTAGGTCAAACTCCAGCGTAATTTATTTACGTTAACTCACCCTAAAAAAAAACTAAAAAACAACAACCCCGAAACCAGTTAACTCCAGTACTCTACACTGCAACAAAAAAAAACTTAAATACCTTCGCAAAAGTATCGCTCAAGCTAGGGCTGCACGATATTGGAAAAACTGACATTGCGATTTTTTCCCCCCCTGCGATATATATAGCGATATGAAAACATACAGGAATTAAAGAAAAGACCGTTTTTTTCCCCGCAAACCATCCTTTCTTGAACTTTAATGCTATACAGGCTAGTCTGTTACTACTCTCAAGATGGTCGCAGCGCGAGTAAGCGCATCTCAAGCTCGTCTGTCTGTCGCTGTTAAATTAGCTCTTTAAAGCTTATATGTCATTGATCCACATGATCTGAACTCATGAACATTTGAAGAACTTAAGTACATAGTAAAGCGGCTCATTACGGTCTCTGGATTAGTGTATTTTTTTGCATTTGCAACTATGGAGGGAAACATGTCTCTGCAAACTTTGTGACGCGATTCAGCAGATCAAGACCGACATGCTGACTCACATTGACTCAAAAATGGATCCCATTCAAAGTAGCTTGAGCAGGATACACAATTCCCTGTCTAGTTTGGGAGACCAGAGGCCTGTACTACGAAGCTGGTTCAACTTAACCTGGATATGTTGGAGTTAGCCGGTTGGCCTAAGCCAAAACATACGCGCTGGCGCTAAGCTGTACTACGACGCCGGTTATCAAGTGGATCGCTCAAGCCAGCAGTGTCCTATCTAGTTAGGTGCGCGTTCACATGAAAGGGGTGGTATTTGGAGCATTCGACCAATCTCAAACACGGACAACCGTACTGACAGCGCAGCGTCATACTTCCTGAATGAAAAGTGAACTTTAATATTAGTCAAATATGAAGAAGTTAAACTTTAAACATCCATGTCTTAAACACTTTATCCAGGATAAAAGCCACATAGCTGCACCTGCAAGGTGAATACAGCTGGTAAAAGAAAAAGTGTTTGAATGCGTACATTAACAGGTTTATGAAATCACTGCCCCATCCAAGACACGAGTGGATCTGACTTTAATTAGGAGAATTTGACTCGAGTGTTTCGTCAATTTAATGTGTTGCTTAAAATAATACTTCTGCATACAGTATGTGACACTGAGTGTTGCACGGCCAGATACGGCTCAGCTGACTCAGATAAGGAAATATATGATACATTATGATGTGATATGATATGAATGATAATGGCACACATCGACGTCTGCACTCACAGTGCCGCGGACTGTACTTAATGTTACTCTGATCCGGTTACTTATGTCGTGGCAGATATTTAAGTAAGCTTTCTTAACGCTAATATTATAATAGTCAGATTGCTCTGAAGATGGGAGGGGATATTCTATTCATTTTCACGTTCACACAGTCAGTTGATTTTGGCCGGCTGTCTTTCCTGCAACGGCAGTTTTTCTGTATTTCCTCTCTCCTGTAATATGAATTGATCGCTTTAAACTCCGCACACGGAGCTCTGATTGGTCAGCAGGCGGTGCTTTCACTGAGTTGATCTCTTAGCCTGCCACCTAACCTGCTCCGGAGCAGGTTTGCCGCTCAGCATAAGTTACCATGGAAATCTAGCCTGCTAAAAAGAGAACCAGCGTCGTAGGACCGGAAAGCCCGAGATTTCCCTGAATTTAGCCGGCTAAGCGAAAATCCAGCTTCGTAGTACAGGCCTCAGGTCAATTTGTTAGAACAGCGTGTCGGGGCTAATGAGGACAATGTACAGGAGTGTGTCGCTCGAGTCAAGCAGCTTGAGAAAGACAACTCCTTCCTAATGTCTAAAGTTGAAGACTTGGAGAACCGGAGCCGACGTTCTAACCTTCGCTTCGTAGGAATCCAGGAGTCCGCTGAAGGTAGTGACATTATCGGCTTCATGTCTCGGCTCAACCCGCAGCTCCTGGGGCCGGACGCCTTCCCTACCCTGCCGATCATTGAGAGGGCACACCACTCACCGACTGCCAGGCAAAACTCCTGTGCCAGCCCGCGAGCCATCATGATCGAGCTGCTGAACTTCCAGGACAAAGTGAAAATCCTTCGTCTTGCCAGGGAGAAAAGGTCTCTGGAGTACAACGGGAAACACATCAGCATATATCCCGATTTCAGTCCCGAGCTTACCAGAAGACGCCGGAGCTTCGATCCAGTTAAACGCAAGCTCCGTGAACTCAACTTGAAGTACTTTCTCCTCTACCCGTGCACCCTCTGCGTTGTTGTTGATGGCACACAACAACGCTTCTCTACCCACAAAGACGCGGAGGCAATCTTCATGTCCACCTCAAGCTCTCCTGGGTGACGAACATCCCCAGAGATGAGGCTGCTGCTAATGGTAGCATGTTGATCCACTACGATGGTGCAGCTAAGTGACTTTCTCCTCGGTTTCCTCTCTTCTCTTGTTTTTTATTTTTCTCATCTTCTCTAAAAACAGAGACCTGTTTATGTGACGTGTCATGACTGCTGAGATGTTGTTGACACTCTCTTTTGTGTTTATAACTTAATGACCTGACCAGGAGCATCAGGGAGCCCTGATGAACTGATCTAGTTTTGTGAGTAAAATGTGGAGATGGCAGCAGTTTGTCTAAAGTTTACTTCTTTCTGGTCTGAATAAAGATCTGGACAAATTTAACATGGGAGTCTATTGGGAGCTAGGTGGACTTTGTCACTCAGATCACTTTTGGGCCAGAATGGTGGGTCCGTTTGATATGATGAAGGCAATTGAGCAGGACAAACTAATAATGCTCCTGAAATCTTTTGAATGGAATGTATATTTTGGGTGTGAGAGCAGTTTTAAAATATTTTTTCCGAAGATTTTTAAGACCCTCTACACTCTAAGTGATGATGTCACACACTCTAGCTCTGAAGAGTCTGTCCAATAGACACCCATTATAAAATCTAAAACGGACTGAAAATGTACCAAAACTTAAACATTGAGAAGTCAAAAACCTCCCCAATTCAACCTGGAACCTCTCTCATACAGTACAAAGTGTGTGTGTGTATGTGTATGTGTATGTGTATGTGTGTGTGTGTGTGTGTGTGTGTGTGAATGTGAATGTGGAGACACTGTGATGGATCGTTGGAGCTATGTGCAGCTCAAGGCATATATGCTCGAACGGAAGCTGCTTGGACGCTGCAATCATGTTGCGCACACTATCCGTGCTGACTTTTCGTACAATGTCCCACTGTCTGGCTACCTGCATAAAGTCAAGTGCTCGGCGCAGTTGTCGGCGAAATGTCGCTCCTCTGTTTTCTTTGAAACAGCTCCTTATATCCGTTAGCGCAGCTAGCTAGCACCAGATGCTAACAACAACAACAACACGTAAGGTGTGCCTCGCTCACGCGACACATACACACACCCTCCCGGTCCTCCCGATGGCCAGTCCGGGCCTGCCGGTGAGCGTGGAAGTGTGGTCTGCCACAAGCGGCTGTCAGCATCAGCTTATAGATGGTATTTTAAACTCGATGCGCTCTGAAACTACGGGGCGGCCGAGGACAAAAAATGCACATACGTTAATCGCGTTAAAATAATTAGTGGCGTTAATTTTTTTTGCGTTAACGCGTTATTAACGCGTTAACTTGATAGCCCTACTTAATAGCTGAATGTCTTGTGACCGTTTTAAAGTTCAAATGGAGTCTCTAGCTGAAAGTATGTGGAAGGAGTAGTATTTTGCACACGGTGAAGGCAAAAGAGGATTTGAAGAGTCGTCCCATAGACACCCATTAAAAAAAATCTAAAACAGCCTGAAAATGTACCAAAACTTCAACATTGATAAGTCAAAAACTGTAGAAGATATCAAAAATCTGAACACAGGCTTAATAGGTGAATGTATTGTGACCATTTGTTCAAGTTGGAATGAAGTCTCTAGCTGAAAGTATGTGGAAGGAGTAGCATTTTTCACAAGGTGTAGGTAAAAGAGAATTTGAAGGGTTCTCCCATTGAGTTACATATTAAAAAAGGAGTTTTAAAAAGCTGAATATTTTAAAAAAAAATTTAAAGTTTTGAAATGTTTTAAAGTTTCCCATCATATGCTGAATATTTTGATATTTTAATGGTTTCTGTAGCTGAAAGTAGGCTGAAGTTATTCGACGGCAGAAAATGGGGTGAAATAAGAAGAAGAAGAAGAAGAAGTTGAAGAAGAATAAAGAAACCGAAGAACTATAGTGGAATGCGGTTGCACACTATACTGTGTGTGGCTTCGCCAGTCACACAGAATAAGAAAGTATTTTATTGTTTGTTACACACCTGTTTTGTGCAGCTTTATCTGGGGCTTGCCTACAGACTCTTTTGCACAGGTCCGTCCGCTGTGCACACTCTCCTCATCAGTAAGAGTCACCATGAAGACATCTGTCTCCTGCTTTAGTTCAAGCTGCTCTTCCTCCCGACTGGTGCAAAGTTCCTCCTGTTCCTCTTTAATCTGTGGAGGCTCTAGGTCCTCTTGGTCCAGACTGGAGTTCCTTTCCTGACTACAGAGCTGCTGGTCACTGAGAACCTCATCCTCATTACAGACATGTTGCTGAGGGAGCTCTGGAGGGACAGAAAATAAACAAAGTACTGTTAGTGTGGTGTTAGGGAAGCAAATTGCATTCAATGCTGGGCAATGGTGTTAAGATCAATATCACAATATCAAGACAACAACAAACAAGACAATAGAAATGCATAAAGCATGAACAGAGTTTATTTAAAAAGCATGCGTCCACCCACTTTTTAAAAAAATATAACATGTTTTAACAATGTGTATTTTAACCGCTGTGCTGTGTGTTTGTTGTTTGAGATCTGATCATGAATTAATAAACAGAATGTGGTTCTATCAACACAATAGGATGCAGTATTTAGCAATCAATTCAACATGTAATGTCTTAACTGGTCAAGTAGTCCTTCTATTCTATTTGATTGTTTATTTACAGCTGATTTCTTGAATATATATAATAATTAAATATCTCATGCAGAAATTAGCAGAACATGGAAATACTTAATGGAAGAATAAGTCCCCCCTCAATATTATATGGGTAAATATACTTAGTTGCTGCTAGCAAGAAAAATAATACATTTGAAGAGTACACCCTCACAAAATATAGCTAACGAGAGGCGTTAACCATAATGAATCCCATTCAGATTGCTTGATAATGTGTAAGTACTTGATAGGAAATAATAAAGTATTTCATTGTTTGTTGCACACCTGTTCTGTGCAGCTTTATCTGAGGATTCAAGACGGTATCCAATAATCTGCGCTGACGACAAATCTCCTCCTCGTATGCTGATAAAGCTTGAGCAAAAACTCCAAATATTTCATCGGCAGCTGCAGCTAGTCGCTCGTTGATAACACTTCTCAGTTTCTCAACTGCAGCCATTTCTACTGTGTGAAAGGATGTATCAAGAGACAAAATAAGCCAAACCAACTTTTCTCGTTGGCATGAACTACACAACTTCCGGTGGAATGTTCTTCTTCGTTGGTTTAGGGAGGCGGTCTGCACTGATAAAGTTACATTACCACCACCTACTGGATTCACATTCAAAAATACATTGTCCCAATCTCCCACAATAACTAACAAGGGAAACAATAACATAAACAACATGTTCCCCAACTCTTGTTCAGTGAGTTGCATGAATCACTTTTGTTTGACTTCTGGGTGAACCTTTTCTCACAAGTATAACATTTGAAGCGATTTTCACGGGCAGAGGTGGGAAGTTACTAAGTACATTTACTCAAGTAGCCTACTGTACTTAAATAACATTTTAAAATACTTGTACTTTACTTGAGTATCTCCATGTCATGCCATTTTGTACTTCTACTCCACTACAATTCAGAGGTAAATCGTCTACTTTTACTCCACTTATTTTGTACCTTAAATTACTTTGCAGATTTGGATTATATGATATAGGCTAATCAACACTTAAATAAGACTTTAGTTAAACCTGGAGTAAATTCACAATCTATCCTGCAGTATACAAAGTTATAAAAACTAGCTGCACCGTTACATGCCTTGATAAACACTTAAATTAATAATTATAATCAAAACATATAATACATATTATTCTGAAATGGACCAATCTGCATAATAAATACTTTTGGTACTTTAAGTATATTTAGATGCCGATACTTTTTTACTTTTACTTGAGTGACCTTTTGAATTCAGGACTTTACAGAGTATTCCTACACTCAGGTACTTCTACTTTTAATGAAGTAAAATATTTGTACTCCTCCCACCTCTGTTAACCGGTGTGGGACTGTGTGCAGATTTTTTACTTTAAGAAATCATGAAACTCCACATTTTGAAGAAATGTTCTCTGGTTTGTGATCAGTACTGGCATTCACGTGAATTGCTCTTGCATGGCTGGACACTTTGGTTGGGATGAATCTGAGCCCTTTCTGTCAGATTCAGATTTTAATATTATAACTGAGATGTTGGTTAGTGGCATCTATGCACATTTAACATGTGAATTTTACTGAGGCCCATGGTAACCTTGATGTCTATTTCAACATTCAATATAATAAAGGAAATTAGCCGGCTCTACCAAAGTTCAATTTGAGGCAACTCCAGTGACCAAACTAATCAACGTATTTAAATAATATAATAACTTAAGCTCAAGCCCATGTGGCCAGCATTTAAACACCTACTGTTTGTAACAACTTACATCCACTTACTTATTATGTCAGTCATCATATCAGCACCTGGATGACCCTCATTTGCTTATATCTTTAGCGTTTAGGGTGAATCTGGTATTCTTACAGGATGACCAAACAAAGCTTTAGATACATACATTAGATTACACAGCATTAAGTGCATCATTACTATTCCTTATTACTGCCTTAAGCACCATGTAGATTATTATTTCCAACTTCAGCAAGTGTCACCTCAAAACCAAAATAGCAACCAAAAAAACAATTGAATGCCACTGCAAAATACAAAACACAATGACATATCGCAATCATAAAAGTTATATTTGCAAGTTAATGGCAGTATTAAACATGTTAACATATGTTGCATTGCTCAGTCCCAGATAGCTGCCTGGTGAACATTCATCCAGATGAAAAGTGCTGCATTTATGTGCCTTGTCACTTGTGTAGGTACATATGGAAATCTACTTGTTGGTGTAAATGTAATACCTTTTCAATTCAAAGTTACATTTTCTAGTCAGTGAATCCTTCTCATGTGGATCAATAATTCATCGTTACGCCTGAAATTGTTCCCACATGCTTTACAAGTAAACGGTTTCTCAACTGTGTGGACTCTCATATGCCTTTTTAATGCTGACATGTCAATGAAGCCTTTCTCGCAGGTCATGCAAACATACGGTTTCTCACCTGTGTGGATTCTCATGTGACTCTTAAAGTTACTGTTATATCTGAATTTTTTTTCACATGTTTTGCAAGTAAATTTCTTTTCACCTGTGTGGACTCGCATGTGTTTCATCAAGTTGCTTCTGTCTCGGAAATCTTTTCCACATGTTTGGCAAGAATATGGCTTCACATCCGTGTGGATGGTCATGTGTCTTTGCAATTTTGACATGTACTTAAAATCTTTCCCACAAATTTCACATTTGAAATTCTTCACTGTGCGAGTATTACGTTGCATGTCTGATAAGTTAGCTTTGATTACATTGTTCCTTTTGGTTTTGTGATGTCTTTTGTTTATTTTTGAATCGGCAGTTCTTGTTAAACCTGAGTCATTAGAATTGTGAGAGATGAGCTGCAGATTACTTTGTGCTTCTGATACCACAACGCTTATAACTGGCATGTTGCCTACAGACTCTTTTGCACAAGTCTGACTGCTGTGCACACTTTCCTCATCAGTAAGAGTCACCATGAAGACATCAGTCTCCTGCTTTAGTTCAAGCTGCTCTTCCTCCTGACTGGTGCAAAGTTCCTCCTGTTCCTCTTTAATCTGTGGAGGCGCTGGGTCCTCTTGGTCCAGACTGGAGTTCCTTTCCTGACTACAGAGCTGCTGGTCACTGAGAACCTCCTCCTCATTACAGACATGTTGCTGAGGGAGCTCTGGAGGGAAGGAGAGGACAGAAAGAAGAGAATACTACTGTAATGGTATAAAACAAGATATCTGAGCAGGGAAATACAACCTGTGTTTAAAGCATTATTATCCTAGAAGCCCATATAACCATGTACACTTTTAAAAGAACATTTTAGTTGTACACACCTCTCGTGAGTAATTGTATTTCATGTTTCCTCACGATATCCAACAGTTTGCGCTGTCGAGCTATCTCTTCCTCGAACTTCGCGATTGCTTTTTCAAAAACTCCGAATATTTCTCCTGCAGCAGCACTCAGACGCTCGTTTACAAACTCTCTCAAATACTCCACTGAAGACATGTTCAACTTAATAACATATGTTACTTATATGTATGTGCACTACGACTTCTTGTCTTACAAAAACACGTTCTTCTAGCTGAAGCTTCCAGACCTCGCATTGTTTACTTCCACTAAACGTCACACTGTTAAGCAGCCTTCTTCTTCTTCTCTCGGATTATTGGCGGGTCCCAAACTACTTCAAGGTCCATATCGCCACCTACTGTACAAGAGTGTGCTGTGCATCATCGTGTCACCAAACCACCACCCGTGGAAGTATGATTACATTATTTAAAATTCTCCTTATCAGCCCTGTTTCACCCGGAGAATGAAAACGTTTCTCGTAGCTCTTTCTCCCTCTCCTTATGTTCCCAGTATCCTCATCCTCATCAGGCTCCACTACCGGCCTGACCCTTTCACTGAGCTTCTCTCCTTTTCATAATGTAAAATTACATTTTACATATTTTCTTTGAGATGGTGTGTCCCAACTTTTGACTGGTACTGTATATATATATATATATATATATATTTCTAAGTCAACCCTCAGCAGTGAAACACCAGGAATGGGAATTGAGCCACCCATTCTCCTAATGCTAACATGAGGGAATGTGTTGAAAATCCAATATAAAGCTAACCTCAACACAGTGACGATTATACATGTCTATATACATTGTTACATTCCACCACTCAATATGAATCAATTAAAATTATCAAACTACAAAATAGTATTAAAAGAATAATTAACTTAACTTTCACCTGGTGAGCTGCAACACCTCTTGAATGTTAACACAAATACTCTGAAATAAGATTAATTTGTTGTCTGTCACACACCCATCTGCCACTTTGATGAACAGAATGTGCTCATAACTTTAGATTTCTGAGTAAATTGCTCTTTAATCATCAGCATTCAAAGCTTCCATTGTTACAACACATTCCAGCATACACACATCTGAAAACGTGTTGCCTGCGTCCCTTCGAGCAGTGACCATATTCATCTCTGCTTCAGCTGATGTGTTTACAGCACTATGTCGTACCACAATATGTGGGTGTGTATCCCCTTTAAAACCCAAAACAAAAAAGACATATCAGGATGATTTTTTAAAAATACTTAAAAAATATAAATCAAATTGAAATGTTGCAGACAAACAGAGAAAAGACTTGCTGACAGGATGACAACACAGGTTTCTCAGTTTCAACATCAGAGTTAATAATAAAAAGTTATCAGATACAAAATAAAAAGAATAGTCAATTAACTGGTCAACGATTTTTCCTGTTCATGGATTTTCTTGTCTGGTTTTATCAGAAAAAAATGTCTCTCCACTTTAATGGGTTTCGGTATGTTGCCCATGAAGCGTAACAACTGAGTTCTCTCAGGGTTTAAGAATAAAAAGCTATGTGTATGCAATCTCTTATATGAGACACATGGAATACTCTTTCAAACAAGTGTTGCAATTATATGGTTTCTCACTAGTGAGGCTCTCCTCATGTCAACTGTAAAGTCTCCTCAGAACTGCCCCAAGTTTCACAAGAAGACTGCTTCTCACGTGTATGCATCCTCATGTGCCATTTCATGTCCATCTTCCGACGGTATCTTTTCCCACAGATATTGCAGACATGTGGCCGTTCATCTGTGTGGGTCTTCATGTGGTTTGTCACATCATTTTTAAGTCTGAAATATTTCCCACATATTTTGCATGGATATGGCTTTTCACCTGTGTGGATTGACTCATGTTTCTTTAATGTTGCAATGTCTTTAAATGTTCTCCCACAGGTGTTGCACAAATATGGCCTTTCACCTGTGTGAACCCTGAAGTGTCTATTCAACGTGTTTCTGTCCTTAAGTTCTTTCCCACAAGCATCACATGTGTAAAACGTTAAACCTGTGGGAGTATCCCGGTGAATCTTAAATGTAATGTTGCTGTGACGTGTCTTTTTTTGTTCCGTCTCTGAATTTGTAGTTGATCCTGAATCTCCATGCTTGCCTGCTTTTTGATTTTGGATCTCAGCTTTATGAAAGTTGTGAGAGAAGAGCTGCTGGTTACTGCTTGGTTCTGGTACCACATCATTTATTGCTGGTATGTTGCCTACACACTCTTTATTCGCTGCACTTAAAATCTCATATGAATTACAGTTCTGATCTTCACTGTGGTCATTTTCCTCATCAGTAGGAGTCACCATAAAAGCCTCAGTCTCCTGCTTCAGTACAAGCTGCTCTTCCTCCTGAACAGTGTGGAGTTCCTCCTGTTCCTCTTTGATCTGTGGAGGCTCTGGGTCCTCTTGGTCCAGACTCGAGTTCCTTTCCTGACTACAGAGCTGCTGGTCAGTGAGATCCTCCTCCTTCTGATAGATATACTGCTGTGGGAGCTCTGGAGGGACAAAATAAAAAGGTAGTGTTGTGTCAGAAAAACTGACACCACCAGAGCAAATGTACACTGGTCTATATTCAAAATATAGGATATTGCATGAGTTTCCAGCATTTTTCTGACAGGCTGTTTCCAAAACGAATGACACACTCGTCAACAACCTTATGGTGATCACAGGCTAATGGTATATTATAGCTGCTAAACAAACAACATATTATACATTTAGTACAGATTGATAATTCACGAGGTTCTCACCTATCCTGCGTAAATGTATTTCAGGTCTCAAAACTATATCCAATAGTTTGCGTTGACGAGCGATCTCTTCCTCATACTCCACGATCGTTGTTTTAAAAACTCCAAATATTTCTTCAGCAGCAGCAGTCAGTCGCTCGCTCACAAATACTCTCAAATACTCCACTGAAGACATTGTTGCTTAAATGTCGATTTAATATGCACATAACCTTTGAGTACAGTATTGTCTTTGAATTTAAAAATCCTGCATGCAAACAATTATGCTTAGCTGACAGCGCTGGTAATGTTTACTTTAAAACATCCATCGTCTACTTCCGCTATTCTTTGCTATAGCAGGCTCATTACCGCCACCTTCTGTGTTGGAGTGTGGAACAGAGTTATTGATTAACTTATCCAAACAGAACACAAAATAGACAGAGAAGACCAAAAAACACAGCTCAGCTAACTATGACATTTAAACACCAGGGGAACTCTGAATATTCACTTTACTAATACCCAAAAAACATTTTTCATTGGAATCAACATCGGAAGAGTTTAACAACCGCACCACATGGCCCATCCTGTCTACTTCCGGGGGGAAACATATCGGGACGGCAAAGCTTCCTGAAGCAAAGTATTTGTTAAAATATAAGATTGCGTGTGTCCTTTCGTTGCAGATATACTAGGAATTAAGTAAACATGCATCGAAATATTTGTTTTTAGCTCGGGGTCTTAAACACTGTCTAAATGGGTGCATATTACTGTGCTATATGTAGACAGACAACATTCACCGGGAAGAAACATATCTTCGGGAAAAATCATCAAAGCACACTAAGAGTGGTTCTTTTAAAATTCTTAGAAAAGGTTAGTAGGTTGTTTTCAAATAATTATGATTGATATATACGTATTTTGTGCTCATATTACTCCCACCTCAACGAAATTGACCGTACTAACCATGATGCAAACAGTAGCTGCAACCGTTGTCGCAAAGTAAATCATAATTGTTGTCACATTTTGAGTGACATATTTAAAAAAAAAAAAAAAAAAGTGTTTTAAACCTTGTGCTACAAACCAAGACATAATGTTTAAGGGTAACTTTAGCTTGCTTTACTTACTGTCTCATAGGTAAAGGAGGCTCGCCGGACACTTAAAAAACCGCAGGTAGAAAAGTTTGACTGCACCCAGCACAAGAAGACTTTCTGGTGCTACTGCTGTGGGCTTGAAATTGATAGAAATGTCACAGACGACAACATGACTGTGCTGTACGGAGGCTTGTTGGAACACATGGCCACGTAAGGTTTTTTGAAATTACATTTGTTAAGCCGATTTTGATTTATATGATGCCATGCTCCATCAAATTCAACCACAGGATGGTTGACACAGACACCACAGGGGTTGATAAAGTATGGCCAGTTAACAATCTTTTTATTTAAAAGCATTATTATTATGGTTTTCTTTTATGCCAATTAAAATGTACATTAAGTCAAAGTAGTGGGTAAGCACAATCGACACTTTTGACTGCTGACATATTTTTACAAAGGCTTGAGACATAATAAATTGTTTTTATATAATCAGCATCATCAATCCGTCTTATTTATAAAATGTTTTTAAAACATCCCTTTTTACCTAATCCAGGAGATCGTTTCAGGAAATTCTTACGCTTTTTTTTTAAATGTATCTGGTTTTAGCCCCGAGCACAGGAGGAATACTCACAAGTTCTGGTGGGAGAATAAGGCTGACCCCAAGTTAAGAGACAAAGTCATCGTCACAGAAGAGGAAACTGAAAGGTAGGCCTGGCTGATACAAACATGTATATTCATACAGTGTGTTTGGACAATTGAAGATCATTGTTTATTTTTGTTTAGGTTTAAAGTTGAGGTGGCAAAAGCGTTGGAATCATTTGTGGAGCAGGAGGATGAATTCATTAAACAGGTGATGCAAACATACTTTTTTTCGACAATAATAGTATGGGTTAGAGCTTTATAAAAACATCAGCATGCTTGCAAAAACAATGCTGATAGATGGTCACTATGGTCACCATCTAATTTAGCGTGCCATACAAGCATACAAATATTTGCTACTTGGCACTAAAGTATTGGATAATTTGATATTTTGACCTGATGATTGTGATAAATTCAGGAGATCTTGATCGCTACATCCAGTGAGTGGTATTTCACAGGATCAGTGAGAACTTAAACCTAATTCTGAATAGTCAGAGGATTACCATCAGCAGATTATGAATGTCTGTCCCATAATATATTGCAATCCCTCCAGTAGTTGTTGAGATTTTTCAGTCTTTACTTGATGAATAGGTTAACTGTGCTTGAAATTCGCTGATATAATTTGTTTTTTTCTTTTCTTGTTCTCTTTTTCATCATGGTTGCAGCAAGCTGATTATATCCGGACACAGGAGAAGAATCGCCAAGAGGTCCTTCAGTCTCTTTTAGAGGTTTGTTTTCCAAGGATGCATTGGCAGTATCCATCACTGTGGCCTTGGCAGGTTTATTATTTATTTTTATGATTATAAGTAACTAAAAAAATAACAGTTTTCCAGCCAAATGATTGTAACTGCCATAGTAGGTAATTAATGATCCTCTGCAGATCCTGGTATAGTATTAATATTGTTGTTGTTGAAATATTGCATGTGGTGAGTTTTCCCCCCGCATATTATAGTCAAAAAAGCGTTTGAGTTCCAATCCAAGAGGGAGAAAATGGCTGAATTTGTAAGAGAGAAAAAAAGATCTGAATAATGAGCGGTTTATGTTAGAATTTTGGGAAACGTAGTGTGAAGCATAATTAGTGCTCAGACTTCCTCTATGAACCACTGTTGGCTTTTCCTGAATCAAAATCAGCGTGAGGCAGAGTCGGAGCTGTTCAATGGAGCCAATGGAACAGACTTGTCTGCTGAGGAAACTGTCAGGTAACACTATCTACCGATGACATTTCAAACTTTTTTGCATTGTATTATCAGTAACAATTGAAATGACTTTTGATGTTTTGGGATTCGTCTTGTTGTCTTGGGAACAGCTCTCAGTTTACACCTCAGGGATCAGACCAGCAGGCGGGGAGCAGCTTTGTTCAGTCAATGGTCAAGGCACCGCGGGCGGCAACAGGACAAGGCCTGACCTTCATAGGCTATCAGGTAGCTGCACAGCTCTCATTGAAAAAGTGTTTTATGTCTATGATTGGATTGTTTTTAATGTTGTTTTTCTTCTCATATCGACTCACTTGATCTCTTATTGTCTCTGTTACAGGATACTTCAAACAGAGGAAATGTTCATACAGGTACAGTAATATATGAATTGATGAAATAATAAAGTATCTGCAGAAATGCCCAGAGTACATTGGAA